AGTGCTGTGTATTTTCTGCCACGTGATCCGTGTCATTATGGCAGGTTTAACTGCAACACATATGATGTCAGTATAGAGTTTCACTGGTTCACATCATCCAGTTATTTTCCTTTCAACTAGTTAAATGTTGACTCTGGAAGGTTGGTGCAGGTCATTAATGGTATAGTGTGTAGCTCGAATAAATGTCTGCCGTACCTCTTGTCTGCATACAACCGGTAGAGGTTGTAGAAGTACAATATCGTTTTCCTCAGTTGCTTTGGGCTCGCGAAGTAACAGAAGTGCTTAGTTTCCATTCGGTTGTGACAGGAATCCTGTGCGAACCAACAACAATATGGTATCCTTCTAGAAGTTGTGAGGAATTTGATTTGTGAATGAGGTCCTGACCTACTTATTCCCATAGGGCTGGGGTCATTGTTTTAGGCCCATTTGGGCAGCTAGTACCGTTGACGCATTTTTGTTGTTTTGCCCAGCATTCTTCCGTTGTCTTGCAGCGGATCCTAATAGAAAGCCATAAGGGTTGCTCACTATCACACGTTCCTTAAAATAATCAACATTGCTTTTCTACATTTGTTTAATGATTACCACCAGACTTTCGGGAGTATGCGCTTTTTTATCCACAATTTTTCCCAATGGAATAACCATACATACCTCGCAGCACCACAGAGATTCTGATTTACATTATGTATTTTCCACTAGCTTACTGCGAACTTAGCACAATTAGTATGAAATGTGCTGCGTCCATTTGCTCCCTGAATTCCGGTTCGTACATATTTATGGCATAAAATAAAGCCACGTACTTCTATTATTCTGGGTGGGGAATAAGGGACAAATTTTGTTTGGTCGTCAAAGGCATTACGTCTATCGATGCCTGTTCGACTAGAGGTGTGGTTATTTATCTGTCGCGCATTTTCAAAGTCAACACGAATATTGCCAGAGTCGAATTAAATAATTGCATGATTTGCAAGTTAGGCTCCGAGATTTATATAAAGCTTTTTAGCGATGGACACATAAAATGCCGGTTAGCTAATTCACTTAGCGGTCGACAGTTGCGGTTAAAGGCTAGTCTTATAGTTTTCTTATTTGGCTTTTGTTTGAGACCAAAAGTATTTATGGTCTGTGATTCGAGAAACCACTGGATTCTGTTCCCGCGGGAACAGTGCAAAAACCGTGACCTTGAATATTCAGACGATCCACAAAGTTAGATGCAAAAATTGTATGTACTAACTAGCGCTGATGAACTGGATCGAATGAGTGCAAGTAGACGTGTGAGATGTGTGTCAGTGACTAAAATTAGTGTACGAAGCCAAATATTTTGCGGAAACCAGGTGTATCTGCAGACGATCGAAATATTCTTCAAAGGATACTATTGTCTCAACGGGGATTGCGTTTCACTATCCAAGCTAGACGAAGTAACTTAAGCCGTAAATTTAGATCTCGAACCTGCACTTTGTGATGAGACTATTGGTTGTTCTAGTTAAGTTTAGCATAGCAGGAGAAGTTGAAAGGTAGTTGTTAGGCTTTAATTACGGAGGACTGGATTGGATCCACACATTCCTCTCCAAACTTGTAACACACGTAAAGGAATATGGATACAGCCGATGTGGCCGCAAAACGCTTATCTTCTGCACGATATCAAACTTAGCAGGTAGGCTCCCAGTTCACGTCTTTACTTAGCTCACAGGCTTGGTTTTCTGTTACGAATTGATATTTTTTGCCCACTACCCGTTATACCAGTACGGCTTTTGTCATTCAAGCAAGCAAACAAGAGGTACACGTTCACATCAGGAAGCAAACCTTGAGCCTAAACGAAGCATATGAGGTGATTCCGAACGACAATGAATAGTTTAGATATAAGAGCTACCGAACACTCTTTGCTTGAACCAGACACCGTTTATCACCTTCTCACAATATGTGTTTATGCGGTTGGGGCTCGAACGAGCGTACTGCTCGCAACCTCACCATATCATTAAGATAGGGGCTGCGTAATGTAGAATTCCATATGTATCATCCTCCCGAGCACAACTGCATCTTCACCGGAGGTTAAGCATTCGTTGCGTATAGGTAAATAGCTATATATATAGAAATGCTATTAAATGATAAAACATTTAACATATTTAACCTGTTATTTAACTGGAATGACGCTATCCCACAATTGTTCACGCAGATATGGGCTCAACCGCTACTCTACCAAACCAACTAATAAAAATGGCAAAGCTATCGAATATCGTCAGAAAATCACCAATCCCATTCCGGATACTCTTTGGATTTATCCTTATTGTCGTGCTTGTGACAAGTGCTTGCCTCAGACAATTTTTTCCTTGGTCAAACTACTTTGGGTCTTATTGTGTTTTCCCCAACGACACATTTATTCGCGTCCCCAGCCGTATATCTGCGCCAACCAATTGTTCCCTCGTTGTCCCAGGAGTTTCATCTTGAGCATTTGTATCCTGGCCAAAGTTGTTCACTATCTTAGTAAATCCACGAAACTTTTTAATCCTCTACATAATTTAAACACTGTGTAACATTAATGCAAAATTTGGTGATGCTTAGTTAATCCATTTTCAACTGTCTTTTCGCGGAGTCTCGAAACAAGCGGGTATATTGTTTATTCATTCCCATTAAAAGCCCCTATTTCACAAGCTGCTTTCCAGTGATACATCATTTCTTACATACTCCCTGTATCCACTGTGCAATTACATTGTTATTTCATGGACTAATCTTCAGCTTGCACATCCACTTATTGTTTATTTACTGCAGACTGGAGTAGAATAACCGTAACTGAGAGGCATGAATTCAACATGATTACGAACTAACACTTTTCCGATGAACAATTAACAGTGATTTATAACGGGTAAAAGCATGTGCTTGACATGTACCGTAGGGTGGTTAGAGTGAGAAAAGATAGATCAAGGAATAATGGAATCATCGGTTTGGGTGATCACAGATTTATCTGCACTGCTGTATACGGGGAGTTTGCAATTAGCTTGTGCGCACACAAAGCCAGAAGGGGGGGTTACTGAGCACGTAATAAGCGAAAAAAATAAAAACAGCAAGGACAACGCTTACCCGTGTGCGGCAACCTCGGGTCGATGGGATACAAAATCCAGTTTCTACATCAGTAGCGTTTATCAAATTGTTTGCATGAGGTTTGTAACGACTCATTCTCGAGTAGAGTTGCGGCACCGTCCACTGTCTGCTGGGCATTAGTGCCAGCATCTGGTGGTCATGAATTATAGCATATAGTGTAAATGTGGCAGAGTATCCTCAAGGTGTTTTTTGAAAAGGGATAGGGTGGGAGCATTAATTACATGTTACAGTAGGGCGTTTAAATTGTGTGACAGAATGGAGAAAATGTTTCGCCGACATTCCAGTCGGCTGCACTGCGTGACCAGCGTTAATTAATGACCTCTTAGCGGGGTGTTTTGATTGAGTATCAGAAAGGAATGGCATGTGTGTTTGACGTTTCTCATGATCTGGTACACCATTATGAGATTGCTTCTTAGACGCCGATAACGTCCATTGTATATTCTTTAGCCTGAGTGGGTAGGAAATGCTGATCAAGCCTCTGACGCTCTTCGTTGCCCTATGTTGTGCAGTATCAAGCGCAGTGAGATGGTGCTTGAGCCAGGGTTGCCACGCTTGAATAGCGTATTCCGAGTAGGGTTTCACGTACGCACTAAGCATTTTTGGAAAGACTGAAGGGTAAAACTTCCCGAAAGCTCTG